TCACTTATCTAGACCATTCATCTGAGAAAGTTTGAGGAATTTGATTTTTTCTGGTCCAAATGGCCATAGTTGAAAATTACAGAGGGCGCCTCTTAAATACTAACTTATATAGAAACTAACGGCGCTTGTAATAAGAAAATACATTTACCCTTTTGGTTGATGGAATCCTCAGAGAGTCCTCTTCTACCTGAAAGCCACATGTTTCTCCCACTTCGTGCACAAAATCCAGGTATCCTCTATACTGGGTCACCTTACTGTTTTTTCTGATAAACTTAAAATTAAAAATAGGACAATTGAAAATAACTATGGTCCTGCATAGTGCATTGTACATCAATGACACAAAGGATGTAGTCACTAGGGTCCCTTCCTTGTTTACTCCCAATTTCTATTGACTCTTTTTGTCAGCTTGGGCTTTGCCCCTTGCTAAATTTGGACTGACAGAAACCTTGATTGCTTTGTGTTAGCGCACTATCACATCTGGCCAGCTGAATCAAAAGAACCTTAACCTATATGTTTGAGCATTATATATATCCTTCAGAAATCCATAGCGATGTACAGAAATATTAAGAGGGGCCCTCTATAAATTTCAACTATGGCCATTTGGACCAGAAAAAATCAGATTCCTCAAACTTTCTCAGTTGAATGGCCTAGATAAGTGATTCACAAAAATATAACTTACAGTTCAATTCGATTCGTATTTTAGCGCTGGGGCCACCATCTTGGTTTTGCCCCTCTGAGAGGGCTTTCAGCGGCCATTTTAAGGTACATTTTTGACAATTTGCCATACAAAGAAAACGATATAAATCCGGGTAAAAACCCTTTATTTGAGACNTAACCAGACTAACTACAATGCAACTGAGAAATCACATGATATATAGCAAGTATGCGTGCTATTGATACTTGATTCTATCAATTATCTAACAATAACATCCGCGCCCTCTCGCCGAAAAAGGGAATTAAATATTTTGAGCAGGAAGTCCCAAAATTTTGGGAATATGTAGAAATTTCAATTTCTACATATTCAACTTTGCCGTATTGATTAGAATTTGCTATCTTAATTAAAGTACTTTTCACTTGTATTGTATGTTAAAAATTGCATCATCATATTGTAAACACTTGTTGTGTAAACAAAGATATATATTAAGAAAGTGCATTTGTAAAGCTTGACAATTACATTAACGATAACATCAACGATTAGTATTGACGAGAGCAGAATAAACTACTGTTGGACCAAGTTATGTCTCTTCCTTGAGAAGACCATTGAACTGTGAAGATACGTTTTTCCCTGACAACCACTGGGACGACCAGTTTTTCCCTTGGGACTGTATATTTCTGACTGAATGAACATTTGAACTGAAAACTTGGGGAATCTAATTCTGGAGAGCACTGCTTTGCCTGTGGGAATGGAAATTCATCATGATTTCCTGGTAGAAGAGGATCTACTTCAATGGTCTTCTCTAATTTGGACATCAAGGAAGAGGTATAACTTGGTCCAACAGTAGTTTATTCTACACTCATCAATAATAATATATGTTTATAGTATCTAGGTTGTACTCCACGATAAAATCAACAAAGTAATCATCGATGTAATCGAAAAGCTTTACAAATGCACTTGCTAATATATCATCCTTTACACAACAAGTGTTAACAATATGACAATGCAATTTCTCACATACAATATGAGTGGAAAGTACTTTTAAATTAATTAAGATAGCGAATCCTAATCAACACTGAGAAGTTTCCAAAATTAAAAATAGCGAGTTAAGATTGAAATTCACAGGTTGAAATTAAGATAGAACAAACTCAAGAAACTGAAAGTGAGATACTTAATTAAATTTCTACATATTCCAGAAATTGTAATGATAATATTTGAGTTAAGTACCAGCTAGTAAAATTAATTCTTGAATAGAACTAATTAAACTGCATTAAGAGCGTATGTTCAGCTGGTTGTTTTTGCTTCTACATGCAAATTAAATGTTTGACTACTACATGATCAAGCACAGATGTACTGCTGTACAAAGAGATGGCAGTCAGTTCAAAGTACTATTTTCCAACTCAATAAAATGAATTAAATTCCTACTTGTTAATTGGAAGGACTAAGTACTATTGGTTTTTCTAGAATTTTCGATCCACAAAGAATGACTGAGCTATGGAAAATCCTCTCATAACAAGCTCTGCTTTAAAGCATTGGGCACTTTTTTGCTTAGCAAGACTTATCTTATTTATAAAGTTTATCTCATTAACTCGGGGGTACCCACAAGATGTAATGATGGTATTTATTTGTAGGTAACATAATTGTAAAAAACATGATGTAAAATGTTATGCACAAATATCAGTAAACATCTAACAAGATAAGTCGACACAGTGTTGACATACCTAGCTGCCATTACTGGTATCCAAGGGGTTAGCTCATCAGAATGATTTCCAATCAGCCAATCAATGTCAGGAAATAGACCTGATATTGTGGGGTCTATGGCCATTTCCTACGAATGGAAAAGGTAAAACATTTATGAGACTACAGAACAATCTACAAACTGAGTTCAAGAGATGAAAGCACCCAAGGAACAAGATAAAGATCATAGGGCTCTGTGTCAACTCAGTATTATAAAATGAACACTGTACAGTATAATTATGCTTTAGGGTAGAATTTTTTTTTTCTAAACTTTAAGTATGGGGAGCAGTCGAAATTATAACGTCAAGTTCATACCACATTTTTCAAGTTAATTGCTTTTTTTCATTTGTAGCGTTTTTCCGTATTAAGGAAATGGCTGGTGTGTATGCACTCAGATACTATGATGTGTCTGAGTTAAGTGCTGCTCATTCAGCATCAATCCCCTAAAAAATGGACTCAGAGCATGTGGGGCCTTGTTACAAGAAGGAAGGACATAACGTAGCTTATAGCTCCAGTGCGATGACAACACTGAGTATGCCTGCGCTTAAAGAGAAAAGGAACTCCATAATTTATGTGTGTAGGACGTGATCAGTAACACTTTCAGATGAAGTGATGTAGCTATTAGATTAGAGATTTAGATTTTGACCATAACCCTAAGTGGGTATAGGGCCAGACACTCTCCTTCGCCATGTCACACAGTCACAAGCAGCCACTGTTGCCTTGCTCCAAACTTCAAAATTTAAAGGATCGATTTTCAACGTGCAACTTATTTTCCTGGAAATTGAGTCAAACTTAATCAAATCAGAATCGTATAAACTCTTGTCTTCAGGCATTGTAGCTTGATTAAGAATGAGTCTGAGTACAATGTTTATCACAATGTTTATCACTGCTGTTTGTGTTATATTCTTAGGCAAATCAGACGTCAGGTTTCAGGCCAGTGGCCCGTTTCTTGAAAACCCTGGGAACTTTTTGGGCCCATAAAGCCACTAAGTTCATCTGTATCTACACACGGAGAAGTGTATACGCCTTTATTAAATCCATTTTGAAATCGCTGGTTATCCTTGGAATCTGATTGGCTCTCAGTGGTGCGATTTATTCATGAATCACACTATTTTTTGCACTAAATCGCATCTTTTTCTCAGCCAATGACAATGGGACAGTAAAGCAAAACAACCAATCAGATCTCAAGATAAGTTTAAAGTAATCAATAAAATTTTAGGAAAATGAAAGGCAAAAAGCAATTGTGTGGAGAATTTTGCAACTACTATTGCCAAAACTTTGTTGTTGTTGTAGTTTTTTCCCAAAAAATTGATGAATTTAATTAATTACAGTCTCTGAATGACAATTAATTATGAGCTCCTTCAGGAAGAAAACCTACTTTAATGGAAGTTTCCAACTTTCAGTGCCCATTTTGACGAATATTTTGGCGATTTTTCTTCAACATCTGCTCAAGATCCGTATGATAC